TTCGAAGGTCACAATGAACTAGATATGATAATATCCTTTAGTCTATTCTACATAACATTGTATCCATAAAGGAATTTGACACACTCATCATAATGGAGAAGGCTTCCTCCATCTCTCAAAACAGGTCTTGTCTGTTTGCTGCCCTCTTCTGCTGACAAGCAGCTAAAAAAAGTAGCAAAAAGACGGCACGCAACACTTATTTTTTCGCTGCGTGGCCTTTAAACTCGTTCCGAATATGCAGGGGGTCATGTTTGTGCGGGATTGTGCTGCCACACCTTTGAGGGTTTCACATGCTTATCTTATCTCAAATCTACACAAAGTATTAAGTCCCCCTTCGCCAGCCTTTTGTTGGCGATCGGTGTCAGAAAACGTAAATCCAGTCTCCTCTTATGCAACCGGACTGTGTTGGAGGTCCCAAACTGAGCCCGTGATTTGCAGTATTTAGATGTAAGGCTGTCAAACAAAAAGCGGAGATGTTTTTTTTCTGTGGTCGGAAAGCTCCGCGGAGGACCACCAGAGGACCACCGCACAAAAAACAACCGTCTTACATCCATCAAATGATACAAGATCGCAAAATAGAAGGTGAATTCTTTTCCTAGTGAGTATTTGTGAACCTTAATCAGCTTCAGATGGAGCGTTTCTGCTCAACCAGCAGCAGAAAGTGTGTCAGGAAAACAATATGTGGGAGTTTGTAACCAGGGTTCCTGTCCAGGGATTTCCACGCTTCCAGAGTGGGTCGATGCAATAGCAAAAAAAACGGAGAAAAACAATACTAATTGCTGTTTTGACTGAAATTCATGAGTGGGATAGATTTTATCAGGCGTGACCTCACGGTGCAGCCAGCTACGCACCGGCTGAGGAATCCTGCCGAGGAGCCAAACGAACTGAAAAAACCCCTCTCTTATCGGCCCCTGTGAAAATAAAGGCCGGCTTTTCTGCTGCCAAAGGGTCTCCGAGAGAGAGCTGCACCTGCAAAACAAGCAGCTCTGACAAAGCAACGAGGAAAACACATCAAAATAAGATAAAAAACAAGCTGGTCTCCACCAGATCTGAGAGTCGTGATATTTGACACTGAATATTAGTCATTAAAACACTGATTCTGTCACGTCTGGGGGATTTTTTGGTGTTTTTTGTCCTGTCTTCACGGTTGTCATGTCATTTCCTGTTTTATTTTGAAAGGTACATCCCCTTTTTTCAGGTCTTTTGCACTCCCCTGTGTGTCACATGTCTGATTTCTTCCCTGATCACCAGTTGTGTTCCCCTGGGGTTCCCTTCCCTTGTGTTTAAATAGTCTGAGTCTCTCATATTCTGGTGGGTTTCATCTTTTGTCTTTGGTCCAACGTCGCACTGAGCTAAAACCAAGTCTTAGTAAATCTTTGCCTTTCGCCTTGAACCCCGTTTATGTCTCGTAAGAGTGATTTTGATTTCGTACTTTGTAACTTTTGTCATCCTCTTTTCAGAGTGAGTTTATTTTGTACTTTGTTCATAGCTTTGTCTGCCTCGTTTTTGTGCTTTTCCTTGTCTTTTTGCCAAAGTCCTGCCTTGAGTTCCCATTCCTGACAGATTCCAAGATTCAAGAGCACTGAAATGATTCTGTCTAACTAGTTCAATCATAAAAATACATTAATGGATGAGACATACAGATGTACAGGAACAGATGTATCATATCATTATAGGGTTAAACTATGTTTCGTTATCCAGTAAAGAGTGCTTGACAAACAGAAATCCCCTTTTTTTCTCCTTCATTACTTCCGTCTGGTATCTGCTCCCCACTCTGGGGGCAAAGTGAGCGTCTCTGTGAGCAGTTTCTGGTTTTTAATAAGTCTGGACTGAGATTTCCGCCTGCTGCTGACAGTGATGCATCGGCTGGCTGCTGCTGACGTTTGCACAATCCTCACTTTTAGCAACGGAGAGCCCTGATAGCACACTCGTATCGCGCATCCTCTACTGATAACGCCCCTCTAGTCCAGAACAGAGCAGGGATCCAGCTCTAAACTCAGCCCTGTACGTGTTACATAACAAGACACTTTGTTTTCACGTTTTAAACCTTTACTTGCTAGCTTAAATCGTTAAATAGTTTTCAGAGTAATAAAGATGGCTCCCAGACTGGATGACCATGCTTTTTCATGCCGTGCACCTTTGTATAAAACACCGTTTGCATAAACTTAACCCTATAATGCCGTATGTATCATATTTGATACAAACGATAGAACCAATCGACCTGCTTTTGGTCAGAGCTAACGACTTTTCAGAGCCGTTAGCCCTGCTGGCTAACACCAGATTCCCACGGATTTTGTACCCTGAAACTACCAGGGTATGAAATGACCGTTTAACTGTGCGCCCGGCTCATAGATATCTCATATACGCTAAATTGATCTCAGACTGGAATGTACCACCTGACCTCTAACATCCAGATTAATTGTGACATCGACTACTTTCCCGACTATTTGCAGAACAAAGACATGTTTTTTTAGACTAGTTAACCAGGCCTGGAGTGTTTCATTTCACGCAAATTTGTTTGATGCAGTCATTGATAATCATGTAATATTGCTCTCAGCCTGGATTTCCCCCCCTGTCAAATTTTCCAGAGAAAACAATTACTTCATCCGTCCAACCGAAACACTCAAATGCGACTCGGCAAGTAGTTTCACAAGAGAGATATTTAATAAAAATCAACCACTTTCCTCTTGTGAGCGTTACACATCGGATGTACACAATATACAAATGGTGCATTTCGTAGCAAATATACTTTCTATTAAGACAGCAGCAGCAGAATTGGCATGTACAAAAATACACATTAGATTTGTTTCACATGACATACCAAGAAACGGGATGATATAATTATATATATTTATATTTATATAGAGATCTGTATTATAAATATGATGAACTATACAAGCTGAACACATTTTGTGGTAGTGGAAATAATCATACAAGAATAAAGGACTTTTTTGAGACAACTCTTAAGATGACAATGGCATTATCACAGTGGGTTATCTGTTAAAAAGTTAAGCAAATAACACTGTTTAAAACTCACAAAACGGTAATCCTACTCTGTGCTAACGTTACATCAGTTGTTGTACTACTTGTCGTATTAATACACAGTGAAATAAGGTCATTTACAGAGTCACCTCGTAACAAACCCGGCAGGCTCAGCAGCACTGTCACAAAAGGCCGTATTACTGTGGACAAAACTGTTACACACAGACACACACACAGACACACACACACACACACACACACACACACACCTACCCTTGTCTATAGTATGTTGTAGGGACGCAAGACAAGGCCATGCTTTCTGGGGACCGACCTTTTTTGTGGGTTTAGAGCTCTGAAAAAATCAGGCACTATCCTGTTGTGCACACACAGTCACACACACACCAAATACACACACACACACACACACCTATTCTTGTCTTTAGTATAGGGACACGGGAACAGGCCATGCTTTCTGGGGACCTCAGCAACACTGTCACAAAAAAAGGTATTACTGTGGATAAAACTGTTACACACACACACACGCGCACAAACACAGACACACACACATACGTGTTTTCATTATATATAAGGACGTATGACTGAAATAGGACAAATGGGGACGGGCCTTTCCAAAGGTTCTACAGGTCTGAGAATCCCAGAGCTAGAGCAATCTTTTGATCACATCTGATTGTTATGCGACATATAGGGACATTATCTGGTTTATATAACGTATGAGGACTTTAACCTTTCACACAGTTATTCCATGTCCAGCACACACACACACACACACACACACACACAAAAACATCCTAATGGATCTGGAAGCTCAGCCTAAACAGATAAATACCAGCCTCAAAATAAGGAGGAAATACTCCAAAATAAGGAGGACAGACTCCACTTCCCTTTGTGGAGGAGCGCTAACTGCTTTAGCTCAGTGTTTTACAGGTTTAAAGCTGCTAACAAGCCGGGGTTGATGCTTTTTCTTCTGGTTTTACAAGTTGTGAAATGTCACAAAGGATTAGGCCGCCTGCTTAAAAAAAGGCACAAAAAAAGAAAAGAAGAGATTCACTTGATTTGAATTTAGCCCCGTTAGCTTGTGGCTTTAAAACCACTTATTCCGTTCACCATTTTTACTTATATGTTCTTAACTCATTGACTGCCAAAGACGTCTATAGACATCTTTTATGTTTTTTCAACGAGAGTGGCTGGGGGACGATCTGATAAAGCTTGTCCGTAAATATCGGCTTCTAGACAGAGTATGTAGTAACAGATTGACCCTCTAGGGGGCAGTGCCACTTTTGATGGGAGATGAGCATAGACTGTAGGCAAATAAGAAAAAGGTAACGGTTCGCTATGAGAGAACATGTCGCCGGTGAGACGCAAGTCGAGGAAGAACGGAATAAGGTAGAAACAAAATTTTTTTTCCTGATGAAAGAAAAGAGTCTACTCTTTCTTTTGGTGTGTTCGGTGTTTACATAGTCATAGCACAAACTATTCTGTGGCTCTTGAAAAATCAGTCAAAATGCTCAAAAAACTCTGGCAGTATGGGACTCTCTGTTCTGAAAATGGCTGGCAGTCAATGAGTTAAAGAGTCCTTGGCTTATTATAAAGTTCAATTCAATTCAGTTTTAGTTATATAGCGCCACATCACCACAACAGTTGTCTCACAGCGCTTTCCAAACAGAGCAGGTCAGACCCTACTCTGATGTTAATTACAGAAACCCAACAATTCCCACCATGAGCAAGCACTAGGCGACACAGGCAAGGAAAAACTTCCTTTTAACAGGAGCAGAACCATGGCCGCTGTGAGTCCTTTGACAACTCTTTTGGATTTTGTGGATGAAAAGGAACAATGATTTTTGTTTCTGAAGCCGGGGGAGCATCTGTACCTTCAACTTCGGAAGTACCTTATTCGTAATCTGCCATGTGGACGGCAGATCTGTAGCGGATGGAAGGTGTTTACACATGAATTTTCTATAAAAATCAGCCTCCCATTTACAATTCGTCTGTACACTAGTTTACACGTACGACTCCTCGGCAAAGAACAGCTGCTCGAAGTCCTCCACCCGGGGGTCGCTGCACCTCCTGCTCTGCCACTGCCTGTTGCTATGGGCGACGGCCCGCGCCACCTCCCTGCTCCTGCGGTCCGCCTCCGCCCGGCCCTG